CCTACCTGAACCAGTTGGTAAGGGTAACCATGACATAGAGTGAAGCGAGGAAGAAGGCGAAGTGGAAGGCAGAATAGCTGTAGGAAAGATGCTGGTGGCTCTGCACCTGAGCAGCTGCAGGGGTCTCTTGGTCAGCTGGCCTGGCTCTGCTGCTTTGTCCTAGAGAAAGAGGTGCTGGTGGGAAGCATTGCTGCTGAAACCTCCCTCCCCCAGCTTCTCTTATGAAGGCTCTTGAGGGCTCTTGGCACTTTACAGGGTTCAACCACTTCCTGATTGCTCCCTTGACTCACCATCCTCTGGTTCCACTGTTTGGGGGCAGCAGAAACAGAGTGAGGGCTTCTGTAAAGCAAAGCAGTGTTTTGAAATGGCTTCAAGACAATGTGAGGGTACTGATGTAGAAAATTTTCTCTTTGAAAAGATTGGCTGGTGTAAGAAGTGGAGGCACACCTGGGTTCAAATTCTTGCTCCAGCATATAAGTGGCTATGCAAACTTTGGTAAGATGTTTAATCTTTTGTGCCTCAATTCCTCCATTTGTGAAATGGAGCCAATACCTACCTCACAGGGTTGTTGTGAGGACTAAATTAAATGAGATGATGTGTGTAAAGTATGTAGCACAGTGCCTAGCACATTGTGGGTCCTCAATAAAGGGAGTAGCATCTAGAAGCTGAGCACTATGGGCAGGGTTGGGAGGATGTGTGTGTCTGTGTTTGGGGGAGGGATGTTGGGGGTTATTGAGCTCTTAATGCTCACCTGGAACTCGTAATTGTAAACCTTGATGATCCACAAGGGTCCAAATAACTCAGCCAGGTAGGAAGCCTCGTTGCTGTGAAAGAAAGTTTTAATTTTGGGCCAAATAAGAAGGATTAGGGGCACTTACTGCCAACTAGTCCATGGTGGTATCCTTCCAGGGGGTGGTGTTCTCTCAGAGGCCCATAAAGTCTGCGAATTTTAAAGTCAAGACATTTCTCCCCCACCCCCCATCATCTCATACAGATCATCTGATATCGTGCTATTCTTAGACATTGTCCCTGTTTGTGGGGAGCTTTTCTGGTTCTAGTCTTGCTCTACAGTTTAAATAAACCACAGCCCTGGACATTCTCCTTCACTGAGTTCTCGGCATCCTTTCACACTTCCCATTGACAGCTTTACGTACCAAGCAAAAAGCACACAAGCATACATGATGCCAGCACTCAACACTGCTACTGAGGTGTCTGGTATTTGTGGTTCCAGTTTATTCTGGCCAGGCAGGCACAAGGTGTGATTCTGTCCTTGCAAGGTTACTGCCGAGGGGCAACAGACGAGAAAGGAGTTAAGAGCAAAGCTGGCTATTTAGCAGGAACCGAAAAGGTCTTCAGCACTTGGGTTCTCACTTGTCTCTGGGGGACGGCTGGACAGTGCAGAGAAGGTCAGATACATGATATAGCAGCTGATGATGGAGGCTTGTAGAAGGCCAGAGCTTGGGTGCTCTAGAGAGAACAGGTGCCGTCAGTTGACAGTGAATTTCCTCTACTTTCTGTTTCTACCTGCACTTGTATCGGTGTTGGGGGAGTGTGTGGGAGAAGCGGCAGCGGTTCTTTAGATATTGAGAATGCTAATAAAGTTTTCTATAATACTCAGAGGGACACAGCCCACCCCAAAATCTGCAGAGTTAAATCACAGATACCCACTGAGGTGGATGCAAGGTGCGATGGAGAGGAACGAGAGGAGGCCGCAGAAGCAAAGGTGCAGGCTGAGTAACATCTTGTTGAGCAGGCAACCGTCAGGGTGTGTGAAGTAGCGGAACAGCAGCACAGCTCCCACACCTGCCATGATGTAGAATCCTAGGGTAGCCAGTACCACAGCTAGGGACCAGTTACAGTTTTGTGCTGCTCCAGTCTGCCTGAAGAGAAGTGGATAAGGGTTTGTAACTTCAACCCATTATAGACTAGTCCTCATCTCCCTGCAGACTGATTAGTCAGCCCATTGGTCCACACAATACATTCTTGAGCTTTTGTTTTGTTTTGAGATAGGACCTCTGTATACTCCAGACAGTCCTTGAACTCACTATTTCATATTGGTCCTGAAGGCAGGAGGTCTTGGCAGTCCTGCCCCAGCATCCTGAGTGTTGAGATTATGGGTATTTGTCACTATTCTTTTTTTTTTAATAAAGCTTTTTTTTTTAAAACATTTTAAAAGATTTATTTGTTTGTTTGTTTATTATGTATACAGTGTTCTGTCTGAATGTATGCCTGCAGACCAGAAGAGGGCACCAGATCTCATTACAAATGGTTGTGATCCACCATGTGTTTGCTGGGAATTGAACTCTGGTCCTCTGGAAGAGGAGCCAGTGCTCTTAACCTCTGAGCCATCTCTCCAGCCCTTTTTTTTTTTTTTTTTTGAGACATGTTTCTGTGTGTAGCCCTGGCTGTCCTGGAACTCGCTTTGTAGACCAGGCTGGCCTCAAATTTAGAGATCCGCCTGCCTCTGCCTCCCAAGTACTGGGATTAAAGGTGTGCGCCATCACCACTTGGCTGCCACCACCACTGCCCAGTCATCACCATTCTTGATTACCTGTTTTTGTTTCTTTTTACAAGAGGCTGCCTTGGAACTCCCTACCCTGCTTGTGTTTTTTGTGAGATCATGTGTCCTGTTCTGGCCTTGAACTTTTGACCCTCCTGTTTCCACCTCCCAGTGCTGGGATCACAAGTGAATGTCATCACTTCTGGTTTCTTGAGCATTTTGTTACTGTTCATTGGGAGGCCATAGGAGCAACACCTAATAGGGCCTTTGCCTAGTCTTTCTGTATTTATCCCCTAAAGCCTGTCAGCCTCCTTGGGAGGAGCCTTTAGGGTTAGGTGCTCCTTACCAGTTCTTGTTCCAAGAGTGGGCAAAGGCTGTGATCAGCACCAGCTGTAGTAGGATGAATGTGAAGCCTCCACAGATGCCAATATAATGCCAGGCTGCAAGATAGACACCATTGGGAACTTGTAGCTCTAGCTCCATACCTCCACCCCCTTTTTGATTAGGAACCTGTGTAGCATAGGCAGGTCTTAAACTCTCAAACCTGCCCCAGGCCCCTGAGTTCTGGGATTACAGATGTATGGCATTACATCCAGCTTCCTGTCATTAAGTAGGAAGTCTAGCCTGCTCCCCCGATGAGGGTATAAGATGAAGATTACCTGGGAAGAGATGCTCATCAGGGATGCAGAAGGCAACAGTACAGAGACCTAACAGGAGCAGCAGCTTGAAGCTCCAGAAGCTAGTAGGGGTAGACAGAAAACCAGATTGAGGAAAAAAGGCAAAGAGGGTGGGGGTATGGCAGGTAAGCAGGAAATGAGTAGAGGAGAGGTGGAACCAGCCTCAAGTCCCATTGTAGTCCAAGTTCTAACTCAGATGACAAAAGTCACATGAGCAACACTACACTTTCTGGAAGGTTTGCATATAGCCATTGTTACTTTCAGTTTAGAGCCCAGGGATTTATGAACTTGTTTTCTGTCTTTTTCCAGTGCTCTTTCTTCATCCTGGAGTTTCCTTTAGCTAGCCTGTGTCTACTTCCCTCTGTCCCATCCCCATCCAAAAACGACACACAGACCTGTTATGTAGCTGTGCGCGAGGGCTGGTGGGGGAGTGGAGGCCAACTAGCAGCACAGCCTGCAGCAGGTGGAAAGTGGCAGTTCCCGCACATACTCGATACACAGCCCCAGAGCCACTGAGCACTGGACAGTCCAAGCTGCCAAATAGGTGGGTACACAGCACCGAGGGCATCTGGATCTGCAGGGAATTTGGTTGTGAGAAAAGGTAGGATAAACCACAATGCATGGGAAGGTCCCAACTTCTCACTGGTAGGTTGACACTTGCTCCCTGTTCCCAATCCAGATGTTACAGGTTTCTTTTCCTCACTTTGCAACTCCTGCCCACTTACCCCATGTGCTTTGCCCCAGACCCTTTCTACCACTGTCCTAGACAGCAGGAGGCAGCAAATTGCAGAAGCCCCCAAATGGAGAAGGATGTAGAGCAGGCGACTACAAGAAGACTCGGTGAGGGAGGGCCACCTAGAGTGGCAACAGCTGGTCCAAAAAAGAGGCCCACAGCAGGACACCTGGGGATAGAACAGATGTAGGAAGCAAAGGTGGAGCTTTGGAAGGGGGTGAGGTAAAACTGTATGGGGCTAATCAAAGGTCAAATCTCAAAGCCCTCCATCCTACCGTCTGGTGGTGAGCTACTTAGAATTGCCTTTACTAAACACTAGTAAGATTTCATTGCAAGAACTTTAGTATAGGCTTGAACCACCCACTTTTCTCTAAGGCTCTGGCTGGGAATGTGGGATGAGAGGTTTACGGATTATCGAGGCAAAGAACCAGGTCTGTCTCCCCAGCTCCGTTTTCCAGCTATCTAAAGGCATCTTCAAGTCTGTCTCCTCAAATGCCCTCTCACCTGATTAAAGGGGGTTTTCACTATGACATCGCCGACTCCCCCGTGCTGCTGTGCAAGGCCCAGGATGGTACTCCGGCCTGTGATGGCTTTTGCACCTATCATTTTTGACCCAGAGGTTAGGCGTAGATCCGTTACTGGAAAAGCTGATGAGGAACAGCAGCTTCTCAAGATTTTCGCCCATTGGGCAGTTGCTGTGCTGGACTATATCACTCAGTCTTAAGGCAGCATCAGAAAGTGAATGCAGATCATTAGGAATTGGTAAATGCAAATACCCTTGTGAAGATGCCTTCACCGGCCTTCGTATTCGGGATCATTCGGACTGTTTTCTTAGATTAGGAGCAGTTGGCCTATCTGGTCTGCGGATTAGGTTTTTTTAATTGGTTTAGGATTAGCTGTCGGCTGCATTGGTTGGTCAGAATTCCGTGTGTGTGTGTGTGTGTGTGTATAGATTGTTCTTAGGTGAAGAAGTAAGTTGTGCATTTGGGTGGTGTGAGTAGTGAACAGATTAGTCGAAGGAGATTTTGCAGAAAACACAAGCCCGAGAGGAGGTCAAAAGCGAACCGCCTTCCTGGCTGACGCTTCTCAAGACAGGCACAAAGGTGTGGTCCAGAGCCTGCCCCGCCCCGTATCTGGGCGGAAGCTGAGGTTTGCCGGAAGTTGTGAAGCGGCAGTCTGTGCGGCGGCGCGGTGAGATCGAAATGGCGACCGAGGGAGATGTGGAGCTGGAGTTAGAGACCGAGACCAGCGGCCCCGAGCGGCCTCCCGAGAAGCCACGGAAGCATGACAGTGGTGCTGCTGACCTGGAGCGGGTCACTGACTATGCGGAGGAGAAGGAGATTCAGAGTTCGAATCTGGAGACGGTGAGGTTGACTGGAAACTTGTATGAGGGGCTTGAGTATGGGGTAGGGGTGAGTTGAGGCTGACCCGTTTGCTGCCTATCAGAAGCTCCGGGAGGGCAGATCGCGATAGTGGGAGTAGGCAGTAGGGTGGGGATAAGCGACAACACTCACCCAGACTGCGGTTTGCTTAAGAATTTGATGGAGATTGGGCCCAAATGCATCTCAAGTGCACAGAATTAAGCGTAGTCCTTTGGTCCCGAGAACACTCGTCATTATGAATACTTGAGGAACCACGTGGTTTTTATTTTTGGTAATGTTTTAGATACGAAATTTTTGACCGCACGGTGGTAAGTAACTAGATTCGTGTTTCCTACAGGCTATGTCGGTCATTGGTGACAGACGGTCCAGGGAGCAAAAGGCAAAACAGGAGCGGTAAGTTTAAAGCACACCGCCAGCGCTGCGGGTCCTCATTCTCCAGGAAAAAGTTTTTAACCAATTCCCGCAGATCTAGGGTTTACAACTTTGTTGTTAGCGAGTTTTTAGGGGAAGGAAAGCCTGGATACCTTACTGTAAAGCCTCCACGGGGAGGATTGGGCACGTTTACTTGCTATTTCCAGTCAACCCTGTTCCACCCATTTGCAATGTGTAGTTGGTAGTGTTCCTTCTGGCAGAAGTAGAGAATGAAGACAGATGTGTGTGTGTGTGTGTGTGTGTGTGTGTGTGTGTGTGTGTGTGTGTGTGTGTATAACACACGTGTATATTCACAGGGAGAAGGAACTGGCGAAGGTCACGATCAAGAAGGAAGATCTGGAGTTGATAGTAAGTAGTAATGCTTTTATGGATGCTCAAGAGAAGCCCTACCTAATTTGGGCTCCTAACAAGTGGAGCCAGAAATTAGTTGACACATACATACCCGAGGGGAGGCTTCGGTGACATGACTTACCCTTTTCTTGCAGATGACAGAGATGGAGATTTCTCGAGCAGCAGCAGAAAGAAGCTTGCGTGAACACATGGGCAATGTTGTGGAGGCTCTTATTGCCCTAACCAACTGATAATGTGCGTTTTCAGACATTCTGGGCTGATTTACTGAAATAAAGTGTTTTGTTATGCTGTTTTTTTTTTTTTTTAAACCTCAGATCAAATGCATTATATATTTTATTTTGTTGTCAGTTTCTATGTTTGGACTTCATGAAAGTGTATGAGCAATCAATATAAAGAAGTACCTAATGTTCAAATACAGGCTCTATTTTTATTACACTTTGTGTGTGTGTGTGTGTGTGTGTGTGTGTGTGTGTGTGTGTGTGTGTGTGGCTGGGCACTCTCCTGCCACAGTGCTTGTGCTTGACATCAGATGACAATTCTACTTCCATCATGTAGGAATTGAATTCAAGTGCCCTTTTCCACAAAGCCTTTCACCCATCCTAAATAACAGATTCTAGGTGGTATGCTAGTCTTATTCATCTGACTAGCTAGCTCTTGGCAATATAGAGTACATTTGGATCCTCTGCAAAAGATCCAACTACATGTGCTTCTAAGATAGCTTGTAAATTTTATTTTTCAGATATGTTCTTCCTGTGTAGCCCAGTTTGTTTTCAAACTCAGATCCCTGCACTAACACCACTTGAGAGCTGCAATTTCAGTCACCCTTCCCAACTCTGTAGGCTAGCTCATGAATACCAAAAGACTAGCTCCTACTGGGGTCTTTTAAGTTACCAACCCCATTCATAGGCTACTGGAGTAAAAATTTAGGTTCTAGAGATGGAATTATAGATCATAGAAATGATGGGTCAGAGCTGGAGAGATGGCTTAGTAAATACCTGCCCCAAAAGCACAAGGAATCTGAGTTTGGAACTCTAGTACTGTACACCCCCCAAGAAGCCCAGGGGTGACTGAGTGGTGGTGGCACACACCTTTAATCCCAACAATTGAGAGGCAGAGGCAAGTGGATCTCCACAAGTCTAGGCCAGCCTGGTTTACTGGGGAAGTTCGAGGACAGCCAAGGCTACCCAGAGAGACCTTGTCTCTAAAAATAAAACACCACCACCAAGAACAATAAAAAGCCCAAAAGTGGTGATATGATCCTGTAACCCCAGCATTGGGGGTTGTGCTGAGACAGGCGAATCCCCACAACTCATTGGCCACTCGGCCTAATCAGGATCTTGTGGCTCTTTAAGACCATGTCCCAAAACACAAAGGTAGAGAGTGACTGACATTACATTTATACCTACTTTGTTGCCATGGGATTGTGAGATGTAGTTGAAGCTGGACTGGAACTTGTGACATTTCTGCTTCTGTGTATTGTGTGTGCCACTATCTGGCTCAGTGCTCATCTTTATTATTTCTCAGTAATTACTTTTAGTTTTATGTAGGATATAATTTGTAAAAATAGCAATTTGTCAATAGCCTATGAATGGGTCCTGTAGGGGTTATTTTAATGACATGAAAAGAAACTTTTTTTTTTGGTGGTTGCTGAGAATAAGACCTGAGGCCCTTAACCATTCTAGGGCAAGTACTCTACTAATGAACCATACTTCTAACTTGGGGGTTATTTTTTTGAGATGGAGTTTCATTGTTATTGTCCAGGCTTGTCCTCTCAAGTAGTTGGGACTATAGATGAGTACCACCTGGCCCAGTCTTTAGACTTTTTAATTATGTGTTTATCTGCAAATGAGTGCAGGTGCTGTCAAAGGCCAGAGGCTTCAGATCTTCCCTGGAGCTAGAGTTACAGGCAGTTGTGAGTTGCCTCATTGGGTGTTGGAAACAGAACTCAGGTCTTCTAGAAGAATAAGAAGTGCCCTTAACCACTGAGTCACCTCTTTACCCTCTTCTCATTTTTTATGTAATCAAGGAAAGTCATTCAGCTGATGAAACTGCATTCTGTGCCTGGTGGTTACACAGTAAATATTACATGGGCAAGTGGACTTAACTCTAGTATTAACAGCTGTGGGCTGCTACTCAGAACATTAGTTCTCTCCATCTTACACATAAGCTGGATAGGGAAGATTAGTAGGAACTGGACTCAGTGAGTCATGTTCTATATTATGTCATTGTTCTAAACAATGCTACAACATAGAGAACAAGGACAACTAAATACATCTGAATTTACTTGTAGAATAGATTTGAGTGCTACTTATTGTCCAGTATCTGAGTTTGTTTCTGAGATCAAAGGATGATCAAAATATGAATTGGCAAGAGCTGGGCATATGCAAGGTCCTAGACTTAGTTCCTAGTGTGGTGGTGGCAGGGTATAAATGTTTTAAGCTTGGTGATTCATGCCTGTAATCCAGCCACTTGAGAGGCTGAGGCAAAAGAATCTTAAATTCATTACATTCTCTCTCTCTCTTTTTTTTTTGAGACAGGGTAACTCTGGAACTGACTTTCAGCTCAAGAGATCTGCTAGCCTACCTGCCTTGTTCCCTGAGTACTAAGAATATAGGCATGTACTATGCCTAACTTTTTTTTCATTACATCTTGTGTGCACACAAATACATACCTTCCATGGTGCATGCATGGAAGACAGACGACATTTGCTGGTTGCCACACTGGGTTTTCTACCAGTGAAACATCTTACAGGCCCAGGATCTCAAGTTCAAGGCCTGTCCGAGTAGTTTAGTGAGACCCTTTTTTTTTTTTTTGGTTTCTCTGTGTAGCTTTGTGCCTTTCCTGGAACTCGCTTTGGAGACCAGGCTAGCCTCGAACTCACAGAGATCCGCCTGGCTCTGCCTCCCGAGTGCTAGGATTAAAGTTGTGCACCACCACCGACCGGAATGTGAGACTCTTTTAAAACACACACACACACACACACACACACACACACACACACACACACACACACACACACACACACACACGGATGAGGGATACAGCAAAATGACAGAACACTTGGCTAGCATACACTAGGCCCTTGATTCAAACTCTACTATGGAGGAGAAAAAAGACCTTTGCCCATTTCCCTGCTATATTTTGTTCATTTACTTTTTAACCCCTAAGCCATCTCTCCAGCCCCCATTTACTTTTTTTTTTTTAATTTTTTTTATTTTTGAGACAGAGTCTGATATAGTTCAGGTAAGCCCTGAATTATAGTTTAGGATGACTGAACTATTTTTTTTTTTCCTTCAAGATAGGGTTTCTCTGTGTAGCCCTGTCTGTTCTGGAACTCAGTCTGTAGACCAGGCTGGTTTCAAACTCAGAGATCTATCCTTGCCTTTGGAGTACTGAGATTAAAGGCATGCACCACCATGCCCTGCTTGGATGACTGAACTCTTGATTTCACTGTGTGTGTGTATGTCACCATGCCTAGTTCTATTTTAGTTATTAGATTTTTTTTTCTTTTCTTTTTGAGAACATTATGTAGCTCTGGCTGGCCTTGTAGAAGAGATCTGTATGGGTCTCTACCTTTGAGTGCTGGGATTAAAGGCATGGGCCACCATACTTAGCCTCTTTTAAGTGGCTTAAGAGTTGTCAGATTAGGGGGAGGGGATGGGAGGAGAGGATGGAGGGGAAACTGGTTGGTATGTAAAATAAAGAAGAAAAAAAGGAGTTGTCAGATCATACATTTTGTTTCCAATATTATGGTAAAAATATTACTGGTGTGTGGTTCTCTCTCTCTCTCTCTCTCTCTCTCTCTCTCTCTCTCTCTCTCTCTCACATACACACATACACACACACACACACACACACACACACACACACACACACACACACACAGATCAAAAAGAATGTTTACTTAGAAAAGTAGATTCAACACCCCAAATGCAAAAAACAGGTTGGATTGAGCTTAGATTTCCTGATATCCTACTTCTAACCCTAAGGTAGAAGTAATGCACCATCCACTCACATGCCCATACATCTGATCCAGGCTAAGGTGCTGGAAAAATAAGCTCAAAACAGTCCCAAGTCAATATGGGAAGCCATGGTAGAGAAACCTAAGATTTCTCAGAAATAGTTTTAAGTGGGAAGCCTCTAATCTACCTGGTTAGTGCTTTTCTGTAGGTTTCTCAGTATGAGTCCAAACCTCTTACAAAGCACCTTCAAACACAAGTTATGGCAGTAAGTCCAGAAGGCTCTATACAAGAACTATGTAAATAATAGTTAATGAAAATTGAGGACCAGCTCCCCTTGTGTCCCACAGTTGGAATAAGCAGTTGAAGCCTAGGTGGTTTTCCTCTTCTTAGCAGATGGTCGCTCAAATACATCCCGTACCCCAGCTGCCTTTTGTTTAAAGAACTTTGTGTTCTGGGCACTCTCTTGGCCCCATGCAGAGTCAAAGGAAGTGGTATCTTGATCCACAAGGTGGGTGTACTTGGTACGACCAGACCGTCCAAAATTCTTGACCTGAAAGAAGGACGGATGATTACAACACCAAACAGACATCCCACGCTCAGCTCCCAGTCTGTTTTCTGTTCCCGAGAACTCCCATACCTGCATGACTTTTGGAAGAATGGTTTTGTTGAAATGGTCCTCAAGAGTAGGTGCACTAAAATCTCTCTTGTAGACCTCTTCATCCTCATCCTGTGGAAAAGAATCTTATCAGTCTGTGGTTTTTACTTTCCACATATGCAAACCACAAGTTTATTAAACATAACAGAGGAAGCAAAGTAGTAGTGAGCCTTTCTTTAAGAGATGGCATCTGTGTGGGGAGACAGTGTTTCCACAAACTGTTATGCTTACTAAAAGTCTGTTCTGTTCCCTGCATTCGCTATGCATTTCATGCAGCTTTAGCTCTGTAAGCCTCCTAAATCTCCAATCCTTTTGTATGTGCACCTTTACTTGGACATTGTATTAGAACCGGAAATATAATGAGTAAAAATCATTCCTACTGTTCCCAGGTCAGATTCCTTTCCTGATTTTAATTTTTTTTTTATAAGTAGGAACATCATTCTCTCAATTATCTTTAAAATTTGAGTATCTCCTGTTTATTCATTTATTACATCCTATGAACTATTCACTTGGGCTGTAGAATCCTTTTTAATTATTATTATTATTATTATTATTATTATTATTATTATTATTATTTATTTTTATTTCATGTGCACTGGTGTTTTGCCTGCATGTCTGGTTCCCTGGAACTGGAGTTATACAGTTGTGAGCTGCCATGTGGATGCTGGGAATTGA